GGTAGCTCGGAAGAACCAAAGGGCCAGGAGAAAACCAAGGCAAATTCCAGACGAAACAGCCAAGGAAATGACCAGGACCGAGCCCGAGCAGTGAGCAGGACAGCCAAGACCCCACCAGTTACTGCTAGAGCCCTGAAGGAGAAGCCCCAAAAGTTGGGCAACACTCATTCTTTGAGCCGTCGCCAACGTGTTTCCGCAATCAGCCTTACTGTTTCAGGTCGCCAGGACTACTAGCAGAGTTTGCCACGTGGGCACCTTCGAAGAATCATCTACCCCATAGGCCCGACCACAAAGCTCTGCAATCCCAACTCAACACCCCACATCAACCCTGAGAGGCCCCGGCCCAGGAGGTGAAGAACCGCCTTGGTCTTGAACTTGAACGGGACAGGCTCCTCCATGCACAAGAGGACGAGGGTCGGTTGAACGTCGAAGTCGTGCAAATCTTGGGGTCGACGTCTCCGAGAATAGTCTGTGAGAAAGCCCCCTGGACACACTCCTGCAAATGAAGGCAGCACCTCAGTGAGACCAGACGACGCAAAGAGAGACCATGAGCAAGCCCGAAGCAGAGGACCCCTTCAGCTCCGGTGCTGCCATCGAGAGAACCACATTTAGAAGTCAGTCCGACTAGCAACTTGCTTCGCCAGCTCGCCAGCCTTTGGGAGCGGACACCTCCGAACTCTGAATGCTTCTGCTCTCACTCCGGTTCGACCCGCTCCTCCCCTTCGACCTTCTTCTCTGACCTTCAACGAGCTCGGATTGGCTCTGCATTCCAGACATTCGTTGGTGCCACATGTTGTGCTTGCAGGTGATTGCGTCTTCAGGGCTCTTTCAAGTCGGTCTCGGCACGGAGGCTCGAAAGAGTCTGAGACGCGGACAGCGTCACTCTGCCGAGTCTGCCTTCCAACTGGAGCCAGTGGAGGGGCTTGGCCTGCGCGATGGCCTGGCCACATGCAACGCTGTGAAAGCGAACTACGGGTAGACCGAAACTCACCGATGAGGCCGTGGCCGAGGCGACGGTGAGGTTCGTTTCGGCTCCGAAAACCTCGCAGAAAGTCCGTGGTCCGTGATCGTTCAGAGGTTCTCGTGGGGGGCGCCCAGGTGGACAATAACGGACACTGGACATGAAGCGTGAGACTGCCTGTCTGGCACCCCTAACATGAACAGAAGCCCGGAGTCTTCTCGAAAATCGAAACCCACATGTATGAACTCGCGCGGTGTTATCGGTGTTTCGGCTTGTGGGGCTTTCGGTCTCTAGGGCTTAGATTGGGGCAGTGCTTCAGGGCCTGTTGGGCCCGCCAGCCGAAGTGCCCGACGCCTCTACTGACAGATCCAAGACGTCATTTTGGTGCAGACAATGGAGGAGACGGGCCCCACTCAATTTGCAGCAGAGCCAGACGAGTTCCTGAATCACCTAGACTTTTTCCTGTGAACTCCCTGAGCTCCGAAACCCACAAGTTGAGGGCAACACCCTCACCGCGCCTTGGGTCCCGAAACTCCTTTGTCTTATCAAACCTCCCACCTCTTTCTTGCCGGATTGCATAGCCAGCCGCCGATCCCATGCCTGGTGCGGAGTCTCTGACGGTATGAGCATTGTGCTCGTTGAGGCTTCTGGCTTTGTGGGTTGAGGCTTCAATGCTGTGGACGGTTGGGACGTGGACATGTGTTGGGGTCTCCGGCTGTGGCCTTCAACAACTTCGGAAAACCGCGGATCGATTCGAAAAGCAGTTGTTCGAGCCCAGTTTTGACCACCCGCCAACCAAACTTCGGATCGGCAGTTTAGAATACAGTCTGAACGAAGCGCCGAACAAGTTGAGCTAAGAAGTGGAAGACGGAACTGGATCTCACCGGGTAAACCAAAACCACTCTCGGCCAAGATCTCCGACCCAGAAGCAACGATGGACAAGGACAAGCCCCCTGCCACTCGTGGCCCATTGATCGTGCACCAGACACCGGCATCGCCATTCGTCTGGCCGGCTCCTCGTCAAGGAATGAACGCCAGAAAGCTGATCCTCAACACCTGAACAATCGCCATCGGGTCAGTTGCAAGTCGTGTGGTCCCGCATACTTCACCTGATGGAAATGGCAGTCATCTCGGTGGCAACAGAGGTGATAATAGGGACTGCTCAGCAGTTTTGGCAGCGGCGGCAACACCGGCCACATTCTGCTGGGGCGTTGGCAGGTGATCGTCGTGGACAGCAGCGGCGGTGTGGTAGGGCCGGTGGTTTAGTGCAAGTTGATGCATTTTGGAAGGGGGGATTGCTATCAGTAGCAGTGCCTCATAATCAAACGACCCATGATGTCTCTCACCCGACACAGGTCTCCTGGCCGTGGTTCGGAATGCAGAACGACCTCGGCACAGTATTGTCTGGTACCTGAACGTCTAGTCTAGAAGCTCTTCTAGGTGCCAACATCCTACACCACATTGCCGCGCCGACTCAGCCCCTGGCACTGGAAATCCGGTCCATGTTGATGAACTTGGACCTTGAGCCGGACATGGTGATCTCAGACTTTCAGGTCCCTTTTGCAGGAAGCCAGGACAACAGCAACTGCGGACCGGCTCGGAAGGCAGAGGACAAGGCTGCAGATTCAGCAAGATGACAGTAGTTGAGGTGCATAGTACAGCTGCCATGCTTGTAAGTCACCCGCGGCACCACGAAACTTCAGCTCTCTCCGACACAGGTCCCGGCCAGTCCGTCTTGTTCAGAACGGCGATGCCATCGGTAGGCTGCTGGTCCGCAAAAAACCTCGAGTCATGGCGGAGGAGACACGAAAGAGATGGAGAAGAGGCTTGGTGGACTTGCACTAGCAAGCCTCCAGTTCCAAATCGAAGCCTGTGTCCCCTTTTGGAGCATTTCCCACGAGCCATTCACGCCGTATAGTTGCCAGATTATCGGATACACTTGGTTTCAAGGCTTCAGGTTTCGTGTTTCGTAGCTTCGGATCACTTTACAAGACAACGAATCCAAAAAAACTGCGAGCAATCTCCATTTCGCGGACCCGAGAAAGCGCCGTTTAGCCCTTCGTGCACTATCCCCCCTCCGAATACGGCGAATGGCTCTCCAGTCGTTGCTTTCATTTTGAAGGCCGGCGCTTCAAATTTTCGACAACAGCATGTTTGAGAAAGTGCCATGATCAGTAAAATTCCCTACATATCGTAGAATCCGTGTGAAATCCGTATGCGACTCTGTTTTGAGGTGTGCAAGAGGAAGGCAAGGAGACATGAGGTCGTAGCAAGTCCATAAAACACTGAAGCTCAGCTGAATTTTCACTGGGTCCCGTCAAGCTCATTGGGCAGCAGTGTCCCTGGCATATAGCACGACAACTACATATAGATCATAAAGGAATACTGCTGTGTGCCGCTTGCACACCACAAATTTTCAAGCATCATCACGCATACCGTTGTGTGGAATTGATTGAATTGAAGCTAGCTAGACTGTCCGAAACCTTTCACACTTCAGGAGTCTTCAGACATGAGCTCAAGCAAAGCGCGCCCTAAATCCGAGCCACTCTCATCAATTGACCTGACAGCTGCTGTTGCCATTGCTAGTCGCGTTGCGTTTCGATTCTTGGCCACCCACATAGTACACAATACGGTCGCTTGGCAAGTTCGAGCAATACCCACTGGGTTTCGAGTATTGACATGAAGGCAGCGTCACCAGCAAACACGAACTGAAGCAATGCAACTATCACCTGCCACCACGGAATACGGATATTTCACATTGCCATCATTGCGCGGTATCACAGAAAACAGGAGGTGTGAATTTCAAGCACCGTTTCAACCTAAACCCTGCATTCTTCGCTGGTGCTTTAAACGTCGGATCCCAGCTAAGCCGAGCAACAGTGCCGACAGGTTGTCGGAAGCGTACACCAACACCTCAGCACATTGCCGTAATAACTGCCAGAATGACCGGATGCAGAAGCTCTGGAGGGAGCTCAGGCAAGCAAGAGGACACGTGCCCTGGGTTACCTCTTCAAGCAAACTGGCACCTGCTTTACACCCGATCTTACTTCAGACATTCAAGCCGAAACGACGTGATTCCTTGCAAGGCAGTCAAAGATACGCTGAGGCTGGTACCGTCTGAAGTGAGAGATTTCCATCTTGGAGCGCCGAGTAGCCCGGCCTGTGTGGTTTAGGGTTTAGGGTTTGTTTAGGGTTTCGGGTTTCGGGTTTAGGGTTGCCTATCCCTATACTCCTCCTCCTCCTGCTCCTTCTCCTGCTCCAAGTCCAAGTCCTACTCCCTATGCCTATTGCTGCTCTTACTCATACTCCTGTTCCGAAAGAAAAGCGTCCCGAATTCTTCACATAATGAGAATGGTACTAACAGTTCGATCTAACAATACATTTGGGTTTTGGTTATCAGCAAGACTGCGCATGCTCACACATCGATCCATTGAACGATCAATTCGGTCATGCTCGAGCATGTTGGTAAAATTTAGTGAGCAACATGTTCAAGGTGAGTTGTGCCGTCATTTTGCATCATTTGTCCAGCTGCTGTCATTTACAACAATTCCATTGCAAAAATCACTCCCCTCTCCCACTTCAGCCAGACGGTTGGAGTGAGCCCTTGGGGTAGCTGGGCTCCAAGCGATGTGGACCGCAGGACGTCTTTGTCCTTGCTCCACTTCTCAAAAGCCTGATTCAACTGCGCGGCCTCCGGCAACAGAGATCACGGCCGCTGCCATGAAATAAATTCGACTGCATTTTACGGTGTGACGGTGATGGTAGCAGAACGGTTTCGGCCCACCGTATAATCCTGCTTCGGTCTCGAGTTCAAGTGACAACGACTTTAGCAGTGAGGTCCGCTGGGTGCACTGATAGTAACTTCGGATCACGATGAGCTTCGCAACAACTTATAGAGCAGCAATGTGCAGCATGCCAACGTGGTCGGGCGGGTGGTAAGACTCGTAGGAGCCGGAAACAAAAGACCTGTCAACAAACAGAACTCAGCAAGGCTGCAGGCCTTGTCATTGTTCCCGGAGGGGCCATTGGTGTCGTTCGAGTCCCCCTACAAAGACGCGGATGCTGGCAGAGGAGACTCACTGCAACACTATCATTACGCCCAAATGCAACTGGGCATTAAACTCACGCACTTTCCTTTCGCGTCCGTAGTATGGTGACTTGAAGACATCCTGGTCGAAGCCTGCTGTCCTTCTCGTGTAGTGTAGACCGATGGGGATCTCTGCAACCCGCCTTCGCGTCCGCATCTTTCGTCTTGTCAGCCTTGGCAATCTCCGACGCTCCCAGGGATTTTCAGCCCGAGACCCTTCAACCCTGAAACACCGATTCTCAGACCCGAAGCTGAGTGTAGGGGTATGTTGATGTCTGATGTGCAACCTATACGTACATGAAAGTATACACCTCAGATGAGGAAATTCCTTGCCTGCCACTGTTCTTTCTGGCTCACACATTCCAGTACACATGAGGCAGATGCGGCTTTCTGAGGGCCTCGCATTCACCTTGAGGCTCAAATGGCAAACATCGTCTGCAGAGACCTGAGGCATCAGGAGGGTTCCCTGCGACAGGCTTCAATCGCTCAAGTGTGTCACGGCCGACTGGAAAATCCAAGACAGCACCAAGAAGGTCCAAGAAGCCCTTAAACCCAAACACTGATCTCGAGGCCCCAACGGTCTGCATGGAGTAGTCAACTACTTGACCCACTTTGGCAGATTGCACCTGTCGAAGCTCTCGGGGCATGGCGGACCTCCTTATCATTGGCAATTGAAGCCATGCGGAGCAGAAGCCAAAGCAGCGGTATCCCCAATCTTCAATAAAGAGCCACAAGCCGGACATCAAAGTCTTGTCCTCAACAACACCACAGTTGGAGTCCCGGCACCCTTGCCATCATGCTGGAGGTCAGCGGGTACGTTCGGTCGAAGATCATGTCTTCCCGGTAGCTGCGGAACCTGTGCAAAAGGAGAACGACATCTGCCTGCACATAAAACAGTTTGAGGTAAGTGTAGGTAGGGAACGTGCCCAGAGACCAGAACCAAGAAATCCAAGGCTGCTAAGTCAGAGCCCTGAGCCACCGAAACATGCCGAAACCTTCCGAAGCTCAACTGGAAGCTTCAAGTCGGCAAAGTTCCGTCGGAGATCCGGCCTCTGCTGGATGCGCGTGATCACGCCCTCCCGGACCTTCGATTGACAGTCTTCACGCAAAACGTCTGTAAGCTCTCCGTTTCTCTGCCGGCCGAGGAGCGTCGTCGAGTTCTTTGGCTTTCTGCTTGCCCAACTTCGTGAGCTTCTCAGACATGAATCGTGCTGCCCAGATCTGCTGATCTTTGCGCCGCTGCTGCTCGTCCATCTTCTTCCTGACAGCGGGAAGAGGCTCGAAGTATTGCAGCTTCTTGGATAAAGCTTGAAGTGTTATGGCTTGTCAAGGTTTCGGCATGGCTTCAGGGCCCCCTCACTTGATCGAAGTGCTCAGGGATGCTCAGGGCCGGGTGAGGCGGCGAGGCAGCGCAGGCTGATCGGTCCTGTAGACCAGCTTGAACTTCATCCAGCCGCGACTGTAGTCAACCTGGGCTGACAAGTCCAGGAGATCTCACTTGCCTAGGACAGCACGATAGAAAAAGCCAGCGGAATGGGGCCTTCATCAGTCGCATGGCCATGTTCTTCACCAAGGCTTTCGTCTTGGCATACTCACCTGGAACAAGACTCGCGTCCCGACCACCAATTCGAAGAGGCGGTGAAGACGAGTGCAGCAGACAATGCCAATGCCGTCTTAATCCTACGCCAGTCTTCCAAACCCTCAGCACCAACCCCGAGTCTCGAACCAAGCAGAATTATGCCCCGATCCTGAGTCCCGGGCCATAGTACATGGCCAGCGAGTCCCAAGCTTTCTGTAAAGCGCCGGAAGTGGCACGGCCGATGGACCTCGCTTGAAGAGTGGAGAGTCTGGGTCTATGAGGAGCGAAGTGCTTCGATGTTGGGTTACAGTTTTCAGAGCGAGCAGAAATCTTCACACTGTTGAAGGACACCACAAAACTTTACGTTCACCGAAGCCCGTAACTACTGACTGTCAGTACTCGGGGCTGAAGACGAAGAGTGCTGAAGTCAAGGGCAAACAGGTGCCGGGGCACACAAGATATGCGCATGCAAGGCTGAAGAGAAGATACAGATTGACACATTGACCATTCACATCCATAACTGAGGAGCTGCTCCTGTCTCCAGCACAGGGCCAGCACTGATCCCAACGGTAAGTGACCCGAAAGCCCAAAGAGGATTTCGCGCCCGAGGCCGCAACACCTTCAGCGCCCGACGGTCGTTCTCTGATACTAACACCTGCTCCGACGGTCCGACGGTGGGGCTGTGCTTTGTTGCTCCCATTCGGAGCCAACTGCAGGTCTCTAAGACTCTGTGGCAAACGAATGCCGAATTTGACGAGGGAAAGCCACGCATGGACGAGACATGCCGTGCTGAAGCGACTTGTGCTGTGGAGCCTTGGCCAGCGTGAAAGCTCGCTTCCATCTGTGAATCTTGGCCTCATCCTTTGAATACAGGTACAACCTCAGCGAGGAGAGATTGCTTGAGTGCTAGCTTCCTGCTCCACAGACCTGAAACCAAGAGGATCCTGCCTGGACAGTCCAAGATCGAGCGCTGAATTCAAAGTTCAAGGTTTGGAGGTGTAGGTAGTTGTGTGTGTGTGTGTCTGTCTCCGTGTACTGGGTTGGTTCGGCACTTGACGGCACTGAGCCGCACTTGCGGCATTGAGTTTAGGGCTTAGGCTGTCGGTGGGAAATCGAAGGCTCAGCTCTACATCCAGCTTGCCCGATCACAGCTTAAACTGCAAAGCACCCATGCAAATCCCTTCTGGGTTCCAGGCGGGGACTTTGAAGCTTTTTCTCTGTCTGTACAAATTACACGGAGGCGCATCTGATAGCCTGCTCGTTGCGCAATCTGCAAAGGAGCGCTGAGGGTCGTGGAACACGCTTGGAAGAAAGCGAACTCAGAGATGTCTTGTACGGGGATGTGTCAGCGTGAACTGACAGGTCTCTCAAAAGGCCTACAAACATCATGAATCGAGTGACTGACGTGAACTGTGCAAAAAGGATCGGAGACGTGCCTTCTTGCCATTTTGGCAGAGAGGCCGTGCGCGGCTCTTCGTAGAAGCAGGTAGCATCTTTCAAGTGATAAATCGCCTGGGAAGAGACTTCGGCTTCACTCTGCCCCCGCACGGTAGATGACTTCCAGACTCATGCAGCCGGCCTTGACCTTGGCATTGGGATGATGGTCCCTGTACACGAGCAGGTCACCGTTGTCGATGATGAAGCTGCGCTCCACCCTGGAAACCAAACCGGTTCCGAAGCGCTTGGGCACCACCTTCAGAACCTACAAGTAGTAAGATCTAAACCTGCCTCCTGACTTCTCCTTTGGACCCTTACCCTTGTACCCTATGCCCACTCGTTTCAGGTAAGCTTCAACCGGAAGCCCCGGCTGAGTTGCCGACCGTGCGTTGCAGCAAGGGCGGCTTTTGGAGATCTTTATCCTAAGATGGAGGAACAACACCAGACATTCTTCGCAAATCCCTCAATAAGGCCTTGCATGGGGGCTCCTTCTTGGAATTCAAAGGCTTTGCTCAATATCGGGAATCCCTCAACGTTAAAAAAAGACACAAGAAGGGAATTCCCCAGTGAAGGTTTTGCCTTCTGGGCTTTGGCTGCTGCAAAGCGTCAGCATCTCCCTTTTTCTTTCTTCTCGGTGCTGCACCACATTCTGAAGCTTTTTCTGTGCCGCACCTCGACAACAGAACCCATGCATATCCTTCGACACGGCTCCAAGAACACCTACATCAAGCCTGTAGCTGCAGAGATTTTCGAAACCCCTGAACCATCAAGGCTCTTTGACTTCAGGCTAAGCTTTCAGACATTGCTGTTCGCCGACTCGATATGAGCAATCCACGCCGTGCCTGTCACTGTGAAGTGCGCCTGTCCCTCCAGCAAAGTCTTGATCTTTGCCTGGAACGTGTCCGTTCTGTGACTATAGCTAAGGCACTAAGAGTGAAACTCCTTTCAGGATGCTTTGCTCCGGCAAGGTAACTTCTGTGGATGCTATGTGCCTGGAGACATGGAGATGTTGGCAAATAAAGTTGAATTCAGCCGGCCTGGATCGCTTCGAAGTCGTCGGAAGAGCTGTAGGCAGAGGCCACGGACAGCTCTTTGGCGTCCAACAACCTGATCTGCTCTGCGGCGATCATCATTGCCTGGCAATGCGCAACGATCTAGGAGCCTGGACATCGTTGCGAAAAAGTCAAAATCTTGCGTTTGCCGGAACACGTGTCATGAACGTGTTGATTCGCTAACTATCCCAACATGCAAAGTTCATCAGGCAAGCCGTCGTCGTACCCAACAATCCAATGTCTGAGTCCGAATTCCGAGAACCTCTAGCCTCGCTCGCCAAAAACCCCAAAGGACACTACAATGAACTGTAGAGCATTTGCTGCTGGAATCGGTTTTACGAGCCTTCTTAGGCACCAGCTTCAGTGGAAACACACGCGAGGCCACGCTAACACCGTAAGATCCTGGCCTGCTTCACTGATTTGTGATATGCACCACCATCGCTTCTCAGCCAACCCTGCCGAAGGCGAGAATCGGTACTTGTTGGCGATTGGGTGGGTGACTGGAGCCACGGAATTTTTCGAAACTGTCATTGATGCAGACACGTTCACGAGAATCAGACGATAAGACTGTACGGACATCTTTGATTGACCCCACCAGTCCTCGTGTCAGACGAAACAAGCAAGAACACACAATTTTCTCAAAGGGAGGCCTTGCTGATCGTTTTCTGAGGGCCTCCATTCACGAGGCTGATCCGCGTTGCCTTCAAGAGGCGGACCGGCGATGCAGAAGCACAAACTTGATCATGACAAACAAGGATTCTTATTGGGGGAAGTGCTGGGTCTGCTCTTCTGTTCGACCCAAACAGACATGTATGTCTTCACCTGTCGCTGAGGCCGAAGATCAACTGGACCAGTGCTTGTTCCTGGCCGTGCACCAATTTTTTGCGTGGCGCTATCGGCAAAAGATTGCAAGATGGAGTAATCTGAGGCGGCCACGCAGCACCAAGGGTCGCCCTTCCTGCCTCTCAGCCATTGCTGCGAAAGCAGGACGCCCCTATATCATGAGCCTCGGGCCAGAATGCCACCATACAGACAACTGTGCAGAATGATTCCGTCAAACATTTGCAAGAACTAGTGTGTGTGTGTGTGTGTGTGTGTGTGTGTGAATGTGTGTGTGTGTGT